ATGACTTCGTTTTCGATGCGTGGAGATCGGTTAATTCTACTCGCCCAACAGCACGGGTGCGCCCACTCATTGGCGCGTCCCGTACTGATACGTGTACGGCGTTTTTGTTCTTTCTTTTTGAGATCGGTTAACTCTACTCGCCAACAGCACTCATTGGCGCGTCCCTTGCTGAAACTGACAACACATATGCAGCACGGGTGCTTCCACTCATTGGCGCGTCCCGTACTGATACGTGTACGACTTCGTTTTCGATGCGTTGAATTCGGTTAACTCTACTCGCCAACAGCACGGGTGCGTCCACTCATTGGCGCGTCCCGTGCTAATACGTGTACGGCGTTTTGTTCTTTCTTTTTGAGATCGGTTAACTCTACTCGCCAACAGCACGAGTGCTTCCACTCGTTGGCGCGTCCCGTGCTGAGGCTGACAACACATATACAGCACGGGTGCTTCCACTCATTGGCGCGTCCCGTACTGATGCATGATTTGTGGTATTTCCTACCGCTGCGTTGAATTCGGTTAACTCTACTCGCCAACAGCGCGGGTGCTTCCACTCATTGGTGCGTCCCGTGCTGATACGTGTACGGCGTTTTGTTCTTTCTTTTTGAGATCGGTTAACTTTACTCGCCAACAGCACGAGTGCTTCCACTCGTTGGCGCGTTCCGTGCTGAGGCTGACAACACATATGCAGCACGGGTGCTTCCACTCATTGGCGCGTCCCGTACTGATGCATGATTTGTGGTATTTCCTACCGCTGCGTTGAATTCGGTTAACTCTACTCGCCAACAGCGCGGGTGCTTCCACTCATTGGCGCGTCCCGTGCTGATACATGTACGGCGTTTTGTTCTTTCTTTTTGAGATCGGTTTACTCTACTCACCAACAGCACGAGTGCTTCCACTCATTGGCGCGTCCCGTGCTGAGGCTGACAACACATATGCAGCACGGGTGCTTCCACTCATTGGCGCGTCCCGTACTGATGCATGATTTGTGGTATTTTCTACCGCTGCGTTGAATTCGGTTAACTCTACTCGCCAAGAGCGCGGGTGCTTCCACTCATTGGCGCATCCCGTGCTGATACATGTATGACTTCGTGTTTCGTTGCGTTGAGATCGGTTAACTTCCACTCGCCAACAGCACGGACGAGTGCTTCCACTATTGGCGCGTCCCGTGCTGGTGCGTGTCCTTGTTTTTTTTTTTTTTTTTTTTCATTGAGATCACTTCCGCATAGACAATCCTACGGCAGGTTGACGAGTTTTTGGCATGCATCAATTGCTGTCCGGGCGTTTTTGGTCGCTTAATCGTCGATGGACGTGACGTATTCTTATAGAAGGTTTGTGTCACAGCGGCAATGAATTTGACGTGATGCCCCTCGAGACCGTGATGCACTCACATGGACCGCTACCTGACGTTCCTTGCGAGTTCGAACCTAGCGTGTCACTTTCACCTCCCCCCCCTATTTTTTCTCATCTTCTTTTTCCTTATGCATACAGCACGTAGTTCGCTGTCTCGTTTTTTTTTCTCGTCTTCTTTGTTTTTCAGTCTTTTTCTTTGAGTCTGTCTCTCGCATGCATGTGTTTTTGCTTTTATCCGTTCCCGTGAATGCTGTTGAATGCACTTTCCGATTACGTATGCGGCCGCTTTGTATGCCATGGGACTTGTCGATACCATCAGTGGGGACTTGTCAATACCATCCGTGGAGACGATTGCTTACGTGAGTGGGCATATTATCGTCGATTCCTTCAGCTATATGCCCCTCTGTGCGCGGCACAGACAAGATTGTACCGGCAAGTAGTCCCTAGTAAGCCGGGGGAAACAGAAAACAAGGCACCTGCCTCATGTGCATACTCGTGACAGCATCATGCCCTACTGCCGCGGGTCGATTGGTTATGTCCGATGCCGCAGGGTTCCTCCACCCCGTGCAGTACAATGGCTGCTATCAACCGCGACAAGTCAGCGTGCGACCATACAACAGGCCCCGCTCTTTCTTTTTGCCGTTGAATTTTTTTCTTCAGAGAGAGTACGTCTCGGTTGGGACGAACCGCATTTTTTTTCTTCAGCGAGAGTACGTCTCGGTTGGGATGAACCGCATCCCATGTTTGGGAAGGGACCTATCTGAGCGGCGCGGCGAGCGAGACTGCGGTGGCTTGCCGCCGCTTATCTTACTGCACCCTCCCCCCTCGTGCTAAATGCACGCAGCGGTGAGGTCACAAGAGTAGCGGGACGCGAATAGGAACACGGCCGACACGATGGATGTTGGACACGAGTACACACCTTTATATGGAGAGTCGCGTGCTGGTCACTTCCCCAATGCTTGCGCCGTGTCCCGTCCCGCCCTTTTCTAAACTGCCGCCGCTACTGCGTTAGGCGGCTGCTGCTGTCCTTCCGTTGCTTCACGCGCTCTGTAGCTGTCACACGTTACCCGACTTTGCTACAGCCCCTGCGTGGACTCGATCACGGAATGACACCCCCAACTATAGACTAATAATTCCAAACACCGTGACCCTGGGTTTCCGGTAGAAAATGAAGCCAAATTCTAATTCGACTGTTACAAAATAAACACCAGTTTATTCTATCTGCTTCGACGAACAAAAATTCCTTTTGCAAGCGAAAATTCCAATGAGTCCTTGGAAACGAGGTTCCGGCAACATCACACAGGAAACGTTGGTTTGCCTTGCTAGCCCTCCCGCATCAGGATGAAGGCATACAGGGACACTGAAGGCGTGGCTCGCCCCGAACGGCAACAACAACAGCCACGCAGTATTCATACCACAGCGTAATCGATTCGCCTCAAAATAATGTCATGATCTGGATAAGTTGTGCTCTGTCTATAGTACGTCAAAGTTGAACGGCGGCCACAACCTCCGGCGCTTCCAGCGCTCGGCGGCCGGGTCTTCTACGGAAGGTGGGGTGCCGCAGCGGCGATATCGTTCTGCAGCTGCCTGGACTGCCTACTCAAATTGACGCAGTTCTCAGCGACAATCGTTCATTCGGCGCTCGCAGTACACATGTATTGTGTTCTCCCGTATGTGCTGCAGTGCTTGTCTACTGTTCGCCGCGCTGCCGGCGTCGTTGTGTATGGAGGTCACTTAATTGTGTCGAATTACAGAACCAGGTCCTGTTTACATCTTCATGCCCGATTTGTACACTCCGTTTTCTCCCATCATAACGGAAACGGCGATGTTGTGGCGGTTCATGGCCATCCAGATACCACTGACCCACAAGGACCACATGGGCGATTCCCCACACAAATTTCCGTCTCTTGCCTTGGATGGCCACCTTGTCGCTTCCCGGCGGAGACATGTCGCAGTCCGAGGGCAGTACCACCGGTCCCCGTTCGGCGACGAACCCGAGGTTGCCGCGCTCGGCGACTTCAACGACCGAGTCGTCGTGTGGGTGGAGGCGCACGGGAGTCGATCAGGTCATCTCGATGGCGGCAGGAATTCCTCGCCGCTCCCGGCCCTCCCCTGGTCATTGTCTGTCGAGATCCTCGGTATCCGGGACGGCACGAGAGACTCTGGACCCACGAGCACCCGCTTCGCTGCAGACCGCGCCGCGCCGAACGATGACGTTCTCCTTCCCCCCCACTGCGCGGTGAGTGCTTTGACGGTGTGCTCCTCATAGTGGTAGGTGCGTTGACCGTTGTACAAGTGCCGATGGATGCCAATCAATCTCCCTGCTTCCTTTGCTCGGGTTTCGTGCCTTAGGGTTAAGGTTAAGACATCGCGGGGCTTGAGTGCAATGTCCCCGGCTGTTTAACTCCTGTCGTTTGTCGTGCGTTGAGAACGTGCCGGCGTCGTGTTCCGCCCCGTCCTAAAGCTGCTTTGGTTTGAAGTGCTGGCTTGCTGTACCGTCATGTTGTCGGGACGCCTCTACTCACAGATACGACCGAGTGCTCGGCATACCGTAGTCGTGTGTTGCTCATCAACGTTACTTTGCTGACCGGGGACGGCGTCCTTTTCCTCTCCCGATTCCCCGCTCGCTTTCTTTCGATCGCGCCACACGACAGAACCGGGACGCGCCCCTACAACAGGTGTTGTACTTGGTCGACCTCCAGTCGCCCACGACGCCTCCGTCGAGTTTCCGTTGTCCATGTTTCATCTTGACGTCGCTCGGATAGAAGCAGACCCGCCACCTTGGGTTGCGTCCATGCATTCCACGAAAGCTGTCTCGAAGACCTCATCAGGAACGCGCACTTGGGAGCCCTTGACTTCGGAAGTTTTCGTCTGGTCGCCGAAGTGACGTGCCCGTACTGCGGGCAAGCGGTGTGCCGTCGGAGATACTTTGTTCGGTAGCATCGGATGCCGGCTTCCTGGGCTCGCCGCCCGTCCGGAAGGCGGTCGCCCCCTCCAGACCGTTGGAGACGCTCAACGAGTTCGCAGGCCGCATTGTGAACGGGGTCTCCGCGTGATTGCAGCCCTTCGAGCGGTCGTTGACCAAATCTCCTTCACTCCGGTTGCGCCTACGCGTCGATGGGCGACACTCGTATATCGCTACCTGGGCCGCGCCGTCGCGTATCTCGGGCGCGGTGCGAGGCACGCTAGCAGGGCATCCCTGAAACAAGGCCAAGCGACTCGGAACTTATCGCAAGGTGCGGCGACCCCTACACGGACCTGGCTGACTAGGCGAGAACGGTAACCCAGTGACGAGGACACGGTGAGAATGTGTGCCCGCCGTGGATAAAGATTATTTATCTCGCGGGCTAATTCCTCCTTCGCCTACGTGGTTGGCGGTTCAAGTAGGTCCTGTCCGCTTGGCATTATGTCCTGGTCTCTTCGAATGATGTTTCGAAGGGATCGCTCACCGCACAACCCCAAGGTCGGTTCACGTTAAGCGACGTCGACCAACGCCTCTTCCGTCTTCTGTTAATCGCATGAGCGTGCCCGCTTGTTTCTGGCCAACACCAAACCATTGTGACCTGTCACGTTTGTTCTCATGCCTGCCTCAGGAGATCGGGGCGACTAGCCACCGAGATCTGTTCTCGGCATAGGCGCAAAGTGCTCCCGCGTCTACAGCAACCGCTGTAGACACCGTCCTCTGTCACAGTACCTTTTCGCGGACATTCCCGGAGCCGCGAGAGGGTCGCCGAGCTCCTTGCTGTGCCTGTCGTGCGAGCCTGATGCCGGCGTCGATAGCGACAGGATCGGCCCTCTTTTGGAACTTGAGGCGTATGTGCGGCGTCGGAGGGGGGGGGGGGGGCACTCTGGCGTTGTCTTATCTGCAGAGAGATGCCAATGGCGAGCGGTATCCCTCCTTCGTGCCGGGGTTCGCCTGGGATGCTTGGATTCGCTACTCCTGCGTATTGCCGGAGGAGTATTGCCGGAGGACCAAAGGAACACTCAAGGAGATGATGTGCGTCCTCTTCGCGACTGGTCCATCTCAGCCAACCAGGCGAGCATCTCCGCAGGATCTGCGTTCCCCACCCTTCCCTCGCCCCCTGCGCGAGTGGAGGAAAGCGACGGCGCCGACGACTTGGAACCCTACAGCCTGCTCGGCTTGGCTCGTCACCGCGACCCCTACTTCTCTTTCCGTCCCGGCAGGACTTCTTCGAGTTCCATGTGCTCCAACCGGCGTTCGTGACTTCTCCTGGCTATGGAGCGCATTGCTTCTGGAAGTCGGGCAACGTCCTTTCCTCCCATACTTCGTCAGACCGCCGACGTTGGACGCCTGGGTGACAGGAGTACGCGTTAGGGGTCGAGGCGCGCCGCATCACTGTCGAGGTTCAGTGCGACGTTGGGCACGTCACGATCGAGAACCAGCCTGACCTCATTGCCCGCCGGCCCGCCTCCATCGATCTCCCTGGCGCATGTGCGGGCGACGCGGCGGAAGCCGTGTCCAACGAGCTATTCCTCCCCGGTTTCCCTGCCTCCGTTGACGCCGCCGAGGACGACGACGCGGTCGAGCCTAGAGCTTGGTCTAGAAAAGATGAGGTTACGGTCTGCCATGGCCAGCCCGGGAATGGAATCTTGACCGGTGCCGAATAGGATGCGGACCTATTTGGGAGTGGTAGGTTCCTGCGAGGGCTTGGGCTGCGCCTTTCGACTCCTATAGCTAGAGTCACAGGACCAACCCTTGAGTGCGCGGAAGGTCGGCGAGGGTCGAAGTTGCGGCGTGCGGCAGGGTCTACTACGCGTATTGATTCATACAGACTCCCATGTACCATTCTGATTCTCTGGGTGGGAAATCTCATGGAAGGAATGCTCAAACCGGTGTGGGAAAATCTCGAATTATTACCCCAAACGAATGAGACGCCTGCCTCGCGTAATTTGCAGCCCCACACACCACGTAATGATTATATTGTGATGTGCTGCTGCATCATCATTGTCTATGGGAGCCACTTCCAGGGCTTCCCGTACCTTCGGCTCCCGCTTCTAGTGTAAGATTGACTTTATTTTTGTAGAGAAGTGGGGAAGATTGGGGAAAACTGGGCCGAAAAGGGTGTTTCCCTGCCTCTTGGAACGGCAATAGTCTACAGTAGGCGTCATTCCCTGCAAATGTGTTTCCTCTTTGTCCATGTGACTATGCCGGAGAGTTTACCAGAATAGACAATCCAGGGCAGACAGTGTAGACGCGGCACGACCCGGGGGTCTCCCGTGCTCGCCAGAGGTGTGTCGCATGAAAAAATGGGTTTCTCTGTGTCGTACAGATTGAGATCCCCCCCCGCAGCATGAAGTGTTGGGCACCTTCGTTTGAAGCATGCTGCTGCTTGCTGCTACCGCGACACGCGTCGCAGCGGTTCACATCGCCCGAGGCACCCACACAAACAAAGCTCCAATATATGATCCACCCGAACCATGTGGTACTTCGTAAGAACAATCAGTCATCGATCCCACATCAATTCGACAACCATAGAGCGTTTGCACTATTGCTCTTTACACTTGTGGAGTGATCAAAACCGCGTGAAATATTGTTGCTTCAAAACTTTATTCACTCATCATCAATCAAACACTTCGACACATCCCTTCCAGCGGGTCATGACAGTTCGGGAGGTTAGTCTCTCTGGTCGAAAGAATATTTTTGAAATACTTGTAGTGCTACAGCATAGTACATCATGGTGTTGCATGTTCGTTCATGCAGTTTGTTGTGTCGACAAGTTGGTGTTGTAGACCGTTTTTATTGTGTATTCCCCCGGACCCCGGACCATCTCGTGGAAATATGATGAGAACATTTGTTTTGACGTGTGAACATGTTCATACCCCATTGGCTAGAAGCTGCCCAATAAAAATAGGCCCTCGGTGGGTCATTTCGGTAGGCAATGTTCTGCGTTCCTGCCAACATTTTTCAAGAAGCGTGCGTAGAGGGTGATTATTTCAAGCATCTCCAGAGATCAGCGAGACTCCTGTCACGTCGTTCGCCGTTCAGCACTGTTTTCATATCCTCCATCAGCGAAGGATCTACAGTAAATACAGCAATTCTCCCCAATGCCGGAAAAGGTGGGTCGGGAGAAGTTGAAAGACGGGCAAACACGCGGTTGGGATCGAATGTATGTATAGACATACACCGCACAACTACATCAGCAAACTGCACAGCCGGACATTGGAATTGGAGCTGCGGCATAGGACATAGGACATCGGAATTGGAGCTGCGGCATAGGGAACAGTTGTATCTCTTGTGCTTGTTTCGTGTTTTTGCTCTTCACTATCTTGGTACTGAAGTGTGCACGTAGGTGGTAGTGGTGCGGATGGGCCGCTTCACGGGCTACACAATGATGGCATATTGGCATGGCTCTGAGTCGTGTATTCGACATAGTATCGGTCATCATGTTACGGAAACGTGTGGTGACCGATGCTGAGATAGACTATGCTGCGGGCTTCCCGGAGGGCCCTCCTCGTTGGGCGCTCAACGGTTTCCGCGGGAGCGACGATACTCGCTGCAGAGGCCACTGGATGTCATGCATGAGATGCTGTTTTTGGATATTGTATTGCAGCGAATAGGCTTGAAGCCCTCAAATCCAGCCGCCTGTAGTTTATCGGCGTGGGTACTGCCATGCGTGCGAATCGAGGTGCAAAAACACGTGACGGTCTGGACGTGCGGTTCACGTGTAGTAGGCTAAAGGCGAGAGTAATTTCGATGTGCGATTGGGTGAAAGCAAACGCCAAGAGCGGAGGTGACGCGTTCCTCAATCAAGATATGCATAGACGATAGCTCACTCCATGATGTAAGAGTGATACCATTGGTGTGGGAGCGCCATCGACCGCGGGGTCGGCGTTGAGTTTTCGTTACACTACTTTAATACAGTTGATATATTTCAGGCAGTCATGCATGCCGCTATATGAACAGCGTGGGTCAGTCATGGCCGCGGGACACAGCGAGTTGTTCTTTCAAGAAGCAAATTCACCGTGGCGATGATGTCGAAGACTCGCTCCCGAAGAAAGTTGTGCGTTTGGCTGGCGGGGAAAACTGCCATTTCGGCAGGCCAGCAGAAAAAGGTGTATCGATCTACACAGTACACAGTACAGTAGATACATGTGAACCGTAGAGGCGTACAGAACGGGCCCGGAGACAAGAAAACGTCAATATCGGGTGGAGGATCAGTTTTCTCCTTTCATCTGTCGAGCACAGCTTGATATATGGAGTTTGCTGTAGTTAGTGCAGGGTGTGAGCTGTGTTTCTAAAACCCTGTGTTCTACTGTATGTTTCGTGAAATACACTACTTAATTGCGGGCCCGTTCTGTACACTGGTAGATACAGTAGTGCTACAGTATACGTCAGCATAAATGCAGAAAAGCGTCCTTGTTTCAATCACCGAACACGTTTGTTCGTATGTGGCTCTGAAGCCCTGCGTGTGCTTTCGTCGATGTTCACCGCAATGTTCAAGATGACTTGATGTACCTTCTGTAGACACTTCCAAGTGCTGATATGTTGCCCTCAAAGACAGCCAACCGCCTTTGTTGAACACTTCGCTTGTTTCGCTTGCAGGGATTCAACCCAAGACAGACGGGGGTTAAGGAGGGACCTGATCCTGCGCTTGAAGCCTTCAAGAAAGCCCCCATCACGGGTCTTCTATCCGAGGTGACCGCTTCCTCTGCACTACGAACCCTGGCTCGACCTCCCTCTCACGTGGCACAACATGCAACATGTATGCAGCGAAACTGCAGTGGCGGAAAAAAATTGGCGACGAGCGTGTCCACACTGGACTCCGGACTGCTTCTGTGATGTATTGTATGTAGTTGTGGTTGGTGAAGAGAGAGCAGGATTTTATTTTTGCGAGGAATAACAACTACATACATACCACACCAAGAAATCTCATCGCGGCAAGGAATACAGTAGGCCAATGTGTGAAGGTGTGAATATATGTACAGTAGTTTGGTCTTTTGTATCTATTCCCTTGCTCGAGCGAAAAAATTGGATCTTAGCACGGTGAACCCTCACAGCTGGTGGGGGCGACAACATTGTCCACTACATGTATGACAAATGTGTGTGTGGGGGCGGGTCAAGTTTCTCACTTGCCACCCCGATCTCCCACACTATTTGACAACTGTGTACCACTTCCATGGAAGAATATATCAGCTTCCATGGAAGTTGATCTACTTCCATGGAAGCTGATACCTGTTCGATGGAAGATACACGTTTCGCGCGAAACGACACTTCCAAGGGAGCGATATTCACTTCCACGGAAATAATGATATGAAATACGGATGTGCCACTTCCATGGAAGTTCACTTCCACAGAAGTCCTATGGAAATCTCGTGGAAGTGGGACAGCTTCCATGGAAGCCTAAGGTTCGACTTCCATGGAAGCTATCCAAAACAGGTTTAGGGCAGCTTCGATGGAAGTATTCAGCCTCGGGTTAGCTTTAACGGTCTTACCGGGATCAGGGTTATGGTTAGGGCTAGGGTTAGGGTCAGGGAAGCTGAAATGACTGTACGTCCAGACGCTTCCGTGGTGTTGCTTTGGGTTTAGGGTTAGGATTAGGTTTAGGATATGGAAGCTGGAATGACCCACATGTCCAGACGCTTCGGTGGGATTTGCTTTCCTGGAATTTTCGGTGCTTCCACGGAGGAAGTCGGTATCGACCTCTGTCGCCCACTTCCATGGAAGTTGCTTTCATGGGAGTTTTCGTGCTTCCATGGAAGTACCATAGACGCTGTCAAGCGACGATCTTCCATGAAAGCAATACTTCCTCCATGGAAGCTCGTCGTGCTCACGTGGAAGTCCGAAATGCAACTTCCATGGAAGCAACCAGCGGTTGATATCGGGTGCTTCCATGGAAGCGGATCAACGTCATGGAAGCGGATGTACTTCCATGGAAGTTGTTTACCGCTTCCATGGAAGCATCATGGAAGCTGGAACCCGAAACCGACGAACAGATGTCATGGGGGAAGTCAATTTGACTTCCATGGAAGCCCTCTAACGTCTATGGAAGTCGATATTGACTTCCATGGAAGTAACAGTGACTTCCATGGAAGGGGCAACCACTTCCGAAGCAGTGAGCCACTTCCATGGAAATCGACTTCCTCCGTGGAAGCTTATTCCATTTGTCGACTACTGTAGGTTACCCCCTTGCCACCCCCACCGGCCTAAAGTCTTGGGGACGGAAACGGTGAGAGGAGCTTTTGTTGGTCCAAAGGGCAGCATACATGTACATCCAGCGACATACAAATTCCAAGGCAAGCAACAAAACGAAACTACTACTGTGCACCGGCATCACCGTGTGCCGTTGCAACCCATGCTGCTGAAGGTGCCTGGTATAGGGCCGACGGCCGTTGGCCTACTAGGAGAGGGCGAAGGAGATGACTGCGTCAAGAACACGTTCCAGCTGATCGGAAAGTTCTTGGTGCTTCGAGGTTCGAAAGAGGATGGGCAGCTGGTGCGCGCTGAATTCGTGTGCATGTCTTTTCTGTATCTATCGTGTGGTGCGCTATCATGAAGAACTACTTGACCACTTCAAACCGTCATCGTTTTTCAGATTCGGGTTTTCGAAGATAAGGCGAGAGATATTGATTGGTTGATCGCGTCGGCACTGAACCAATGCAGGGCACAAAGGCAATTCAATGTGCCCATCGCCCACTTTCTGAGGCTTTTCTCTTGCTGTCGTTCGCCGTGTTGTGTTTCTCTGTTGAAGATCGACTGCGTGGAGCACTGTGACAAATTCTACTGGTGGCTCAAGTCCAAAGCCGTCGACAATTATCGCGGTCGCATCGTCCAATGCATTGCCGTGAAGACCAACTTGTCGTACCCCGGTGAGCAAGTGAACGTCTTTCTAGGCACGTGCAAACTACATGGTACAAGCGATAGAACCATTTTTTGAGGAAACCCAGCCCCTTGAACTCCAGCAACAGCCGATGAATCAGTAGTCTAGAGCATGCAAGATCACGATGCGAACCTCCCTGTGCTGTGGAAAAGTCTGGGGGGGGGGGGGGAAGAGAGAATCATCGTCGATTGTTGGTCTCATGTTAGGGGCGCAAGACCTTGATTTCGCAATATTTTCTTCTCACCTCGTTCGTCGCCCGGCCGATGGCCTGCAAATTTATGTTGTCATCGGGTTTAATTCAGTAAGATTTGTTCTGTATACGGTCGTCGTATTGTTTTAGGCCGACTTTCGGGCAAAACTTCGGGTGGAGAAAATACAAAAGAACGGAGAGAATACATGAATGTATGATCCGACGGAGTCACACCGCAGAATCGATCGAGGAAAAGTATGGGGTGGATATCGAGCGTCCACATATTCAGCTACAATTTGGGGATTGCGTCTGTGTGAATTCTTGACAATAATGGCACGTTCTTGAAACTCGATAACACCACACTTCAGTCGTAGTCTTGTTCTTTCTCGACCTTCTTTGAGAAAGACCCTCTTTCGCTTCTCCCCACCTCTTGCACAGGTATTTACGACACTGACAAGTGGGAGGATCCCGAACTCTAAGTTGGCGGGGAAGTAACCTCTAGTCCCATATATTCTTGGCGCGAAGCTTGGTCGGCTACTGTCCGATCTGCGGTCGGTGTGTGGTGCTCAACTAGACAATACTTCCATGTAGGGGGCGGGGTGTTCTTCGGTTCATGAGGTTCCTAGGAGTCCTACAAGTATGAGGACATGATGAAGTTGCTCCTTGAGGGTGTAGTTCCCCAGAATTCAAGTTGGTTGAGGGTGAAAACTCACGAAAGAAATTCGTTCCATACCAGATACACCTCGTTCATTCATTGGAAGATATGGCAATACAACGTGTATTGTCGAGGGCATGGCCGTGGTACCAGCCAAGGACCTTCAAATGTTGATGTTTGCGTTCAAATACATGATGAATTTTCAACGCGATTCAGCTCAACATTTAGTAGTTATTGTTTGGGCATCCCCCAAACACACACAAAAAAGGTAGTTTGTGTGATGGAGTTACGCCCCAAAGGGTGCCAAAGCATGTGACGCGGCCGTTGGCGTCTTCTGGGTCGCTAGCATGGGACCCTTGTTATCGCATCCTACCAATGAAAGAATATCGTACGACGCGATATGAGTGAAGTTCAATGTTGTACATAGTGATTCCTCTAGGAGGCCGATACGGTCTCTAGACTAAAGATTTCACAGAACGGTAAAAATAAACAGTCGTGTCTGTCCGTCGCCGTTCACTCCGAAGCTCCGAACCACGCGCTTTTTTTACCCGAACGCCCGAGGCGCGAGGAATCAGACCATCGGCCGTACTGCACTATTTGAGACGCCCTGTGCAAGTTTCAGCTCGATCGGCGCCTCCTGCGTCGACGTTTGACGGTGTCCGTGAATGGCCTTACCAAGCACGAAGCACGGGCACGCAGCAGGTGCTGCCGGCTTGAATCAGCACGAAAATTTGCTCCGATCTCAATGAATTTTTACCTAAACGTTGGCTCTACACGCCATCAAATTGAAGCTCCGTCCAATTTACAACAGGCATGATTGTGTGTGACCCTCTTTAGGCTGCGAACAAAAGACCTTTGCTTCCTTTCGACGTGGAGTTTTTCGACAAAATTTGTAGCAAACAACAACTTGGTGATTGATGACTTTTCTATGCATTGTGATCGGACTTATCAAGCACAAAACTCGAGCACGCAGTAGGTAGGTGCCCGGCACGAACTTGCTCCGATCTCTATGAATTTATGCCTAAACGTTGGCTACCCGCCATCAAATTGAAGCCCCGTCCAATCTACAACAGGTATGATTGTGTGTGAACCTATGCCTCTAAGAGACTGATACGGTCTACAGAGGTTTCACAGAACGGTACAACGAAACGTGTGAATTAATGAATGATCACTTCCTGTCCGAAGGCCTGAACCACGCACTTTTTTGAGCCGAATGCCCCGAGACGCAAGAAATCCCCCCATCGGCCGTCCTGCACTACGGTAGGAGCCCTCCGCAAGGTTCCGCTTGATTGGTGCCTTCTGCGTTGACGATTAGCTGTGTCGGTGACGGGCACTCTCAAGTGCAGCAGGTGCTGCCGACACCATTTTGTTGCTCCGTTCTCGATCGATTTGTGCCTTAACGTATCCTATCCTCCACCAAATTGAGGCCCCATCCAACTTACAGCTGGATTGACACGTCCTTCGACGCTGGAATAGCTGTGTGCCTACCATTTTAGCCTGCCAGCCAGAGGTCCGGGCAAATACATCACCGACCCATTTACAAGTTTATCCTGATCGCGCCACGTGTGCCCCGCGACCCCGCGATAGACAATATTCGCCGCGTTTCGAGGGGAACAGTATTGTGCTCTGCGATAGACTATTCGCCGCGTTTATGGGGATTTTTTCATGTTGTTCTTGTACGTAACTCACGCACGCCGCCCAACGATTAGCGACCGAGCTCCTGCGCCCAGGTTTTCTGCCTCTCGCCTGCCACATACGTCGCATTGAGCTTCGCCGAGTGTATTAAGTCCGGCCAAATGACGGAAGCAACCGCGGTTTTCGCGTGGCCGCTGTTCGAGTTTTCTTTGAGGAGACACCCCGCTGACCGTTGTCGTTCCAAGCTCGCACGCCACGCTCATGTTGTGGAAAGTGGAACAGTCGGCGGGTTGAAATGTTCGGCCAATTCTTCACAGGCGGGGGACGGGCAAGAAGTGTTGCCAGTGTCTATCGGGCGGTGAGGGCGTCGAATGGAGGCCAACCACAGGGACCAACTTCTGTCTAAAGAATGGAGCAGGAAGTAGCTCGTCCGTTTCTAAACAACAATAAAGAGGGTATCCTACAAGCTGCTCGAGCCACGGGGGACGAGGAATTTTTGGAGGGAATGCAGAGTGAGCACAACCTTCGGGGATGTGCACCGAGGAGATGTCCAAGTCAAAATGACCAAGGAAAGACGGAAAGAATGGTAGCTTACTGAAAGGAGGTGGATCAATGGACAATGGCCGCAGCTACATATTCAGTCATCGAGAGAGTTTGCATTTGATTGTCAAACGTATAGTCGCAGTGGAATATTGATATTTGTCCCTGTCTCCCCTACGTTGAAGTGCATTTTTATTTGAGATAATTTGTTATGATGGCAGTCAGACCTCGCACGCGCCGGAATGTCCACAACGTACTCACTCGCAAACTGGCGTGCGTGTGGTCCTCCCGTCATCATCATCATTCATGACATCTGAGCAATACACTGTAGTTCACCAATCAATGAATGTTCATTAAGAACTTCAATGAACAAACCAAAGAAATAGAACAAGCAGTTCACCCTCAACTCTCACTTTATAGACTTCGAGACATCCCTTTGAAATGTGTTTATTTGTTCGAGCGGCCAGGCTCACGCTGGTGTTATGTACATGTTGCAACACACGATGCTGCACAAACTCTATAGCTTCCGCTGGGGCTGATTGTGGCGAATAGACACCAAACGTCGTGTATTCAGAAGAAATTCATTCAACGTCATCGGCGCTTCCTGTCACTCACGCCGCTCGTCCTTCTGCGCTGATCGATACATCATCAGGGAATGGCCGAAGAGGTGGGGATACCTTGAAACTACGGCAGATACGGATTTGTGTATTGGCGCTGTGCACCTGTATGCGTATTCGTAAGCAATCAATCATGGTCGAACATTGGGGTTTTGCCATGTTGAGGAGTTGAAGTATTCCGCGTTTTGGGTTGTTGGATGTGGGTTGCCGCATTGGAGGAATTTATTGTCATCAGCCGTCCCATCGAGGGCGTACGTCGTTCAACGACCGGAATGCCGGTGTACCCACAAAAATAGCTGCCGCAGGTTCTAAAGTAGTAACTGTGGCTGTGACATTCTGTACTGAGAGCTACCGGAGGGCCCCCTCAGGACCAACCTTGGGCAGAAGCCGGAATGAAATGACCAAAAGGCAGGGGCGGGGAACCGGCGGTCCAAGTCTTTTGTAGCGAATGGGCTCGGTACATTGGACTTAGGCCCACCGAATGCAGCGGCATACATTAGCTGCAGTCCGTCAACTTGGCTATTCTTGTTGAGGGTATGTGGCGTTCTACGGATCGGGGCAATTCATACAGTGTTGTGGTTGGTCGAGACACTTAGAATCATTGGTTAAGGCGGAGATGCATGTACTACTACTTTCATTTCGCCTATTGTTTTTTTAACCTTGAGGCAAAACTTCAGGAGTGTGAAAACTTCAGGAGTGTTGTTGAGTCTGTGTTTGTGTAAGTCTACTTGAACATCCTCCAACCGATACCACTGCCGTAGACTACCTATGTAGTTCTGCGGGGCGCAGTCCCAACATATTAGGTTCCCTAGTGCTCACGCATGTTCCCCTGAAAGACGAACCCCCTTTCTGAACATACCGCTGTTTGTGACGATTCCAAATAGGGGAACGACCGAAGATGCGGCGGGGCCGAGGAATGGGCTGACCGAGAGCTCGAGGATTTCCTGCGAGCGCCTCTCACTGGGTGCCTATCCGAGGTAACAGCGGCCTTCAGTACACAAAGTTGAATAATGTACGGGCGAGAGGCAAAACGGCTACTACGTGAGTGAATCCAGATGAACGTACGGTAGATTCAAAAGAGACAGTGTGAACTCTTCCAGGAAGAAAACCGTGCTACCAGTCGTTCTTCAAGGAGGTCGTCCCCTCGAAATGACAAACAAGGAGCTCGCATAACCATCGTTGTCAATATCTATATACATATTTACCCCTGTGTATTGTCCTGAAGGTTCCCGGTATCGGACTTCGTGACTCTGGCCTACTAGGAGAGGGCGAAGGAGATGACTGCATCAAGAACACGTTCCAACTGATCGGGAAGTTCTTGATGTTGCGAGGATCGAATGAAGAAGATGGAACGCTGGTACAGTACACGTTTGGTCGGACGCTGAAATGATTCTCATTGGTAGTGGAGGATCTGCTGTACAAGCAATCAACTAATCAGCGACTTTCTGTGATCGACAAGGGAGTGCTTGGTCTCGGCGGCACTGTTGGCAGGGGACAACGGCTCCGCGCACAGACGCCTAATACTTTTGCTTCTGCCTTTGTGTGCTCTGTTGGTTTCTGTTGAAGATCGACTGGGTGGATCATTGGGACATTTTTATTTCGTGGCTCAAGTCCAAAGGGGTTTCCAATCATGCCTGCCGTCGTATCGTCCCCTGCATTGCCCAGAAGGTCAACATCGCGTACCCTGGTGAGCGAATGTTCCTCCAAAAGGAAGAAAACGTGTGGCGATGGCGTGCATGTAGCAGCAGAACAATAATACTTATGGAAACCCAGCTACCACTGGGTGGGTCTCCCACACTTTCTACAGTTTTTCCAAACAACCCATGGGACTCCCATGGGTGACCCATGTGTCACCCATGAGCCGCCTATGGGCACCCCGATAGGCCCATAGGCAGCCCATGGGTCGCCCACGGGTCACCCATGGGCAACCCGTTGGATGCCGCTTTCAACCGAAGCAGTGTTCTGCTAAACGATAGATTACCTGCTTTGGAACGGGCTCTAACGGCTTAATAATCCTAACGCTAATCCTACTCTAGCCCCAAGCCGACACGAAACGTACTAGGTTGCCGCTGGTGGCTAAGTGCTAGGTTGATGTGCAGTGGCTAAGTTCTAGGTTGATATGTCCTTGGCGAAGTTCTCGGTTGAAGTGCCCACGGTGGGCACTTCATAGGCCGCCCATGGGCTGCCGATGGGTGACCCATGGGCACACCCATGGGCGGCCCACGGGTGGCCCATGAAGAGCCCATGGGCGGCCCATGAAGAGCCCACGGCCCGTGGGTGACCGATGGGAGCCCCATGGGGCGTTTGGCAAAACTGTCAGTAGTGTGGGAAATTGCACTGGGTAGGGTCGTATATGTACCATACACATGCCTGTACATCAGATGCGAACCCGTGGTACGGGAACAACCGATTCCGATTTCGGGAGCCATTCTCCCGCCTCCCGTATCGAGTGAAGTCAACATAAAAAAAAACGAACGAAACGACGATCTTATACATAACCCTCTTCGCTTTTGTTCGAGGATCCAACGGCCCGTGTGTACTATTAATAATGGTAGGCAATGTTCCACCGCCGAGTAACACCTTGTTCTGGGGCTTAGTTTTGCTTCAACCTTGTCTCCGCCCTATTTTCCCTCTCCCCACCTCTTGCAGGTATTTACGACACTTTGAAGTGGGAGGATCCCGAACCGTAAGATGGCAGGGAAGTAGCCTTCAGTTCCGGATAGTCTTGACGCGAAGCTCCGTCGGTTTTTGTCTGATCTGCTGTGTGGTGTTCAACCAGACAAACTATTAATGTGGCAGTAAGGCGGGGCGGGTGTTCTTCGTTTCATGGGGTTCCTCGGACTGCGATTTTCTGAAAGTCCTACAAGGATGGTGAGATGATGAAGTTGCTGCTTGAGGGTGTACAGTAGTTCCCCACAATGCAAGCTTTTTGAGGGTGAACACTCACATAAGAACTTCGTTCCACACCAGATACACCTCGTCCATTCATTGGGAGAGAAGGCTAAACAACGGATATTGTCGAGGGCATCGCTGTGGGGTGACAAAGTGGATTATTTACCTTCCAAGGACATTCAATTGTTGATGTTTGCGCGTTCAAATGAACGATGAATTTATTCCGCGATTCAGCTCAATATTTAGTAGTTATTGTAGTGGCATCCCCCAAACACGCAAAAAAAAAGGTAGTTAGTGGGATGGAGTTACGCCCCAGAGGATGTCAAAACATGTGACGTGGCCGCTGGCGTCTTCTAGGTCGCGAGCATGGGACCGTTGTTATCACAGCCTACCAATGAAAGAAAAAAGTACAACGCGACATGGATGAAGGTCAATGTTGTAGTGATGTTGGAAACCTTTGGACTTGTTCCCCATCTGAAGAACCCCTAAAATAAAGTAAAGTATACCCCAGCGTGGCATGACTGAACTGGTCCAAGCATACCGAATCAAGTTCCCAGAAAACGTTCGCCGGAAATGGTGTCCCTTCAATATACTCCTTCCGGGAGACATGACAAATTTCACAGTGGATAATCCGATACGCAAACAACGTGTTGATGGCTCCGAGAAACACCAGCACAACGAATTAGGGTTAAGTATTGGCCCCCCGCCCCCCAATGGGGGCGATCGCCCGCAGAGGAGACTACAGGGCGGTCCCAGTGGCTCTCTCTCTGGTGAATCAGCCCCGGCAAACAATCCACGCTCCCTGTTTGTCCTTCATCTGTCGGCCGAGTGACCATAGACAACACGGAACCTGTATCATCGCACACTCCCGCTGAAATTCCCGAACAAATATTCTTCGCGGCCTTTCCTTGCCTCTTTCAGCCGTCGCATATTATGTACTGTAGATATCATCGTTGGCTGCGGGTGTTTTGCGGGAACTTCCTTCTCGGCGGTCGCGCGCCCCGAACGGCAACAACAACGGCGACGCAGCATCACGCGACACAAAATTACTACCACCACAAGTAGTACCAGTTCGTTTCAAAATGAGGTTATCATCGTGATCGGCGTGCTCTGTCGACATCAGAATTGAACGGCGGCCACACCTCCGGCGCTTCCAGCGTGTCCGACAGCCGCATCTTTTGTACGGAAGGTGAGACATGCCACAACGGTAATATATTTCTGCAGACTGCCTGCACTGACTACATGTACTCAAATTGATGCAGTCCTCAGCGATAATATTACATTCGGCGTACGAAGTACTCATGATATTGCTCCCACGGTGGGCGAGCAGGTATGCATGTACGTGTGCGCGGTGCTCCGCGCTGCCAGCGACGTCGCGTTTGGAGGTGACGTGTATCGAATTACAGAACCATGTCCTGTTGAGCTTTTCATGTTTGACTTGATTTCGAAAGGAAGTGAAGGGAGTTGAGCCTCAATGAGGAGGCGTGACAATGGCGGCCCGTTTGGAAAGGTGTTCTTCCGTCTAACAAAGCACAGTGATCATTCTCAATCTCTGTGTGGGAAACAAACTGAGGAATGCTCAAACCAGCCTGGGAACCTCAAACTGGGAGGTGTGTACACACATGTAGTTTGGGCCGGTCTGGCTCATTGGCCCATTCCTACCTACTGCTGGCCACCCCGTCGGCAAAAGAATGAGCCTGGCGCCTAAAATAGGTTGCAGCACCACACAACACACAACTACTTCGCCGCAATATTTTAACGTGGAGGTGATGATTTGTGTGCTCTATCTAGATGATGGTTTCCCATGGCAGCCACCTCCGGCGCTTCCAGTGCCTCCGGCGCATGCTTCGAAGTCATATTTACCTTAGTTTCTGTTTATAATCACGTTCATTCTTCGTTCACGAGGAACCTCAACGGCAAGTTAAGCACAAGGAACATGATAAGTCTGCCACCGGCGAAAAACCATGGCAACGTTTGCGCTCTGCGGAGACCAAATGAAGCATGGACGTCGTGAGATCAGCATTGTACGTGTAATACGAACTTGCGTATGCGTTCTTCACGGACATGCTTGGTGCACGCCCGCTTGTCCTCTGTTCCTAGTTTGAAGCTTAGCCATAGGCGACTGTCATAACATTAGGTGATGACGTACCTTCCAAGAAGGTCGCGTCAAAAGGGGGGGCGTGGGTTTTGGTCCAATATCGAAAAGAAACGCCAAACTGAATCTGCTATGGGTGCCACTTCGTTCTCTGTACCAAGGTGGGATGTTCCAATCCTGTCAGCGGCACGCTGCACATTTGAAAATTCCCCCCATACCAAAATAGCGACCACTTATCCTCATCCCATCCTTCCTCTTGGACGTAGTCTCATCATGCACGAGACACAAAAGCGGGCAACGAGCTCTACCGTAGTCGACTTCCTTTGTGCCCGCCAGTTTCGGATCGAAAAATAGGACTCCATAAGCACGGCAATAGCCATAAGGATATTCGCCACAATCAGCAAAACCCCGGACGCAGACGGAGCATCGTTCTCCTTGCCGTTGATCACCATCACCAGGGCCGAATAAAGGCTCGCTACAACGACACCGCTCCCCCAAAAGTACAGCCACATGTCGACCCTCTTTTCGAACGGGGACAAGGCCTGCGAAACCAGCAGCGACAACAAACCGAAAAGCAACGCGAGGGCGATCTGCGCCAAGCTTCCTGGGAGCACAAAAACCGCGGTTCCAGCATGCATTACCCGACGGCCGCACTCGACGATCTCGTAGTAGTACCGCGAAGGCTTGTACGTAGACCAAAGGTTGCTAAATGGTTCAAGGTGTCTCACGGCGCTCCTGTCAGACCGCTGCAGCTCGCACCGGTTGCGCGCCATCCACCACGAGAAGACGGCAGATATGCCGACAGGATAAACGCACAGCATCACGATAGCGTTTGACCTGAACGCGAGGTGTTTGGAGGTGTCATATTTGAGGCTGTAGTCCGCTCGAAGGTAGGCCACGTCGTCCAGCGTATCACACACGAATGTCTGAAATATGATAAAGGAGACCGAGGAGTAGACGAACAGCACGACGAACGCCGCCGCCGAAAGGTGCTTGCGCTGCACAGCACGGATCGCGAGCTCGGAGTTCTCATTCCTTTTCTTCGCGATGAAAAAAGTAGCAGGAGGCGGTCGAAGAAGTCGGGCGCCATGAAGCAAGAGTACGACAGGAAGACGCCGATATCCAGGTTGACAGGATCAATTACGGAGAGAAATTCTTCTGACTCGTGTGGGAAGACGTGTCTGGCGATTGACCCACACTGCATGCAACATTCAACAAATACCACGCGGAACAAGGCGGCAAGGCAAGGGGGTGTGAACTGTCGCATGTCTCCTACATTAGTTGTTGTTGTTGTTGTTGTTGTTGTTGTTGTTGTCTTCACATTAAAAACCGCTCCGATCTCTCTCTACCCAGTACCTTCGTATGTCCGTACTGATCCAACACTCGACGCGGTCGATTCCCGT